GAACTGGGGGCGTGGCTCAGTGGTAGAGCTCTTGCTTAGCATTTTCAAGGCCCTGGCTTCACACCCCAGCTCCACAGGGAGAAAATTATTTTCTATCTAATTATGCTATTAATAAATGTGAATGGAGTTTTGAAATCTGTAGCCATCATTGTATTGTGTTCTAGGTTTGTTTCTTTTCTCCTATCTTTTCTGTCAGTTTCTGATTCATGTATTTTGGGATGTACTCCTTCAGCTCCTTTGGCAAGCCTTTGAGAGCAAATGTTTATCACATCCCTCACATAGCCCCTCAGCACCCAGAACTACACGGAAATCATAGAATATACCTCATCAGTTGCTCTTGGTAGATGTGAATAGTTCTGGTTATACCTGACACTCAGTGCCTCTGACTCCCCCAATGTCCATGGGTCCCTGTGCCCCTGTTAAAGAGACACTCCACGTGTCTGTCACTGCTTCCCAAAAAAAGAAGCCCCTCCTTTCCTATTTATCTGGAGGCATCTTCCATTCATCTGATCTTTAGCACAGCCTTTTTTACTTTACCTTTACTATTTAGCGTACTTGGATTGCCTCTCCTGGGAGACTGGTTCCTGGTAACTTGGCCCAGTGTCCCTGGCAGTACCCAACCCTGGCCTTTCCCAGATCATGTAGCCACTTAGGAAATCCTTGTTAAATTAGTGCTTGAAGAGACAGTATAATTGAGGTGGCTGCTGGCTCAGGAAGTAGCTTTCCTAATTAGCGTTTTGCATACCTGTTGGCCTGGTTGGCTTCCCTTCCTGTCCCTGTCCCTGAGGGAGAAGCCAATGCCTGACACATCTCAGCATGCCCTCCCCCAGCCATTGCTGGGATGGCTGGTATTAATGAGATAATGTTACTAGCGCTTAGCAAAATGTGCTGAATAAATCCTGGTGATGGTGTTGTTGTTTGTTATATAATTATGCTCTTTGAGTCCTGAGTTGCATAACGAACTATATAAGGCCTCCAAGTGTGTTTCAGGAATTAACTTCTCAGATGATACTAAAGCACTTTGCAAGTTGGTCATGGTGGGTGGATGGGGCTAGTGGCAAGGCATGTTGGATTGGAGGCTGGGCAGGTAGCTTCCCATCCTCCAGGCTTTATTTTTGTGTCTATGGATGTGTTCTGACTCTCCCAGACAATTCCATAATTGAGTGCTTGAACAGTCCAAGAACTAGCAATACTTGTGTGGGCTTTAAATGGCATTGGAAATCGTTAATAAGACAGAAAGCTATGATTTCCCCAGCATGACATACAGGTCAGGGTTTGGCGTGCCGAGGTTCATTGTTTCAGGCTCCAGCTCAAACATGCTAGGGCCATTACACTGTCATGTGGTAATTAGCCATTCCTTTAATACACGTAATAAAAATTAAGCCTAAGAGCTACTTTACCAATGGCTTTTACATCTCCCCAAACAGTATTCTAATGCTGTAGGCCTTTAGTCATGCAATGTACCATCATAAAGTTAGTGGTTTAATGCATAGACCTGTTTGAACATTCAATTCATTCTTCATTCTGTGACCAGTTTGGCTACTTTGGCATTAACCTTTAATACTGTTAAATTAAATATAGATGCCATAATGAATAATTATAAGATTGCCAGAACTTCCATTTACAGTAGGACACTCTGAGAATTTGTTTAAAGATGTAGTTAGTATTGCTTCATAGTGTGAGTGTTTTCTTCATTTGTCCTTGCTGAGTGGCAGGAGGGAAGTTATTCTTTCATCAGAAGCTGACATAGTAGGCTCTGGCCTTAAAAGGAACGGACTGGACTGGAAGAGGCTGAGATGATGGCTCAGTCACTATAGTGTTTGCCATACAAGGATGAAGACCCAAGTTTGATCCCCAGAACCCATGTAAGAAACCAGGCAAGGAGGCATGTACTTATAATCCCAGAATTGGGGAGACAGAAGCAAGTGAATCCCTGGGCCTCAGTGGCCAGCCTATCCTAGCCAACTTGGCAAGTTCCAGGCCAAATGAGAGACCCTGTCTCAAAAAACTCAGTGGGGAGAAATTGAGGAAGACACCCAGCATCTACTTCTTGTCTCTACATAATGCACATACATGTGCCACACACAGAAAGGGGGAAAAAAAAAAGAAATGAGCTGGATATATTAACAGAAATTTAAGGGCTAGAGAACCAGCTTCAATCTTGAAAAGTAGAATTGGTGCTAACAGTTGTGTGGGAAAAGCTAGCATGAGCAAGGATTCATAGAATTTTCTCCAAGTCCCTGAATTGAATCAAGTTCAAATTGTAGTTCTATGTGAAGGGGGCTGGGGACATATTGCTTATCTCCTTTAGGCCATTTTCCCAGCCTGAGGGCATACAAGGTAGAAAGGAGTTGGGAAGTTTTCCTGGGATGCTGCCATTAAAACAAACAAACAAAAAAACAAGACTCTCTACCTGGAATGTCTGGAATGTTCTGAGAATTTCATTTTTCTTGTTATTGCCACTCCTGTTTAGAAGAACCCTGTCCCCAAAATAGCTCTGGCAATCTAACTTAACATAAATATTTTAAAGTTGATTAAAATAATAATGAAAAGCCATGAATGAAAAAGTGAGGCCGGCAGGGACTGTGTATACAGAAGTGCCCATCCGGCCACAGGTTCACATGATGGACAGTGTTGGTATTAAGCCCCAGCACTAGGCTCCCTGGAGCTGCAGACTCCCGCTCAGTGACAGCTCCTATAAGCTCTGCAAACAGATTGGCATCACACAGAATTCCCAGCGCATGGTAAAACTGTAGAACCATTGTGGACCAGCCCTGGCTTCCAGAAACCAAGGGTGGTCTGAAAAATTAATGACTCTGGCACTGGGAAATTAAGTGAGCTCTTGAATATATACCCTCACTGATCCGCTGTGCGTGGTGTTTAACATTCCTCGAGAGGAGACTAAATCTTAGCAGCCATCTCCAGGCGAGGCTGGCGCCCCTGCCAGAAATAGACTCTGTAATCTTTCTGAGGCCTGTGGACTTTGGTGTTCTCCCCTCAGCACTCCAAAGGACATGTCCCACTGGTCCCCAGCAGGTGGACTGTAATCACTACCTAAGCAGAAGGGAAAAGAAGATCAAATTTACCCAGAACATTTAGTGTCTGTCTGTCTATCTTGTGCTGAGAATGCATGGGAGAAACAGCCCAAAAGCCAATCCTGTATATTGCATGCCTGCAGTCTCCAACTTTAAACTGGAATCCAACACCAAGTAAATCCAATGGCAGACATCACTCTTTTGGGGGGAGGCGTGTGTGTGTGTGTGTGTGTGTGTGTGTGTGTGCGTGCGCGTGTGTGTGTGTACATGTGCACGCATACACGCATGTGGAGACCAAAGGCCAAACTCAGGTGTTGTTCCTCAGGCACCATCTACTTGTTTTCTGAGACAGGGTCTCTCACTGGCCTAGAACTTACCAATTCAGCTAGGCTGGCTGACCAGTGAGTTCCAGAGATTCACCTATTTCCTCCTCCCCAGTGCTGGGGTTACCAGTGGGCCACGCCATTCCTGGCTTTTTAAGGGGGTGTCTTGGAGGCTGGCTGAATTCGGGTCCATATTCTTACATACACACTCTTTACCAACTGAGCTGTCTCTACAGCCCCAAACATCACATTCTTTTGGCATCTCCCAGGACTGGCCCAGATGCTCTTCTGTTCTCTGTATTCTGATCAGGAACGTGGTGGCCTTCTGGCTGGCTGGTCATTGGCCTGCCACAGGGGTGGTGCCTCAGTCACCTTTGGTTATGCTTTTCTAGGGGTTTCCAGTCTGGGAACCAGCAGCTGAGCATCCCTGATTCTTCTTAGCACCCTTTATCAGTAAAAGTGGATGGTGATACAAAATAACCATGGGCAGCTGGGGTTATCATTTGGTGAGCTGAGCACTTGCTTAGCATGCATGAAGCACTGGATTAGATCCCCAGCACAGCATAACCCTGGTGTGGTGGTGCACACCTGTAATCCCAACCCTCATGAGGAGATAGGAGGATCAAGAATTCAAGGCCAGCCTCAGCTACATAGCCAGTTCAAGGCCAGCCTGATATACATGAGTCTCCATGTAGGGAATAATGGTTACCCAGAGTCAGAAAGCCTGGGTCAGTCTTCTCTGTGCCTCCCAGCCAACCAGAGAAACCCAGGCCAGCCCTTCTTTGCTAAGCTGTAGTGCCACTTCTGTCCCAAATGTCATTGTGAGGTTCCAGTAAGAAAATGTTCTTATAAGTGTTCTGTGACCTGTTGCAGCTCCCTCAGCTCGAGGTCCATGAACTTTTAAGACATATTTAACTTAGGGGCACCTTTGCAGAGACCAGCATCCTCTAAACAGCATTCTGAAAATAAGGTGGCTTTTCATGGCGCTCCCTTCCTCCCATGTAGTGGACATGTATCTCTCTTCGTATCTGACCAAAGAATGAAAGTCATTAAGGAATTACACCACACCAGAGTTGAGTCCTGCCACTGTTGTCACCCATTTTCATGTTGAGAAGTTTGGGTTATGGGGCTGGAGAGATGGTTCAGTGGTTAAGAGCACTAGCTGTTCTTGCAGAGGACCGGGTTTGATTCCTAGCACCCACATGACAGCTAACATCCATCCATAATTCCACTTCTGGGGGAATCTAGTGCCTTCTTCCAACCTCCATGAACATTGCAGGACATGGGTGCACTTACACACATGTAGGCAATATTTATTTTATACATATAAAATAAAAATAATAAAAAGTTTTTAAAAAGAGGTTTGAGTTGGGTTCCTTCTTTATCAAGCCACCAACCCAACCAGTGGCCATGGGGGATATGCTGGAGAAATGTAAGGATCCCCCTCAAAAGAACCTTCAGGATGTAACCTCCTCAGCACTTGCCTAGAATTGCCAATGAGGGGCCAAGGGTATGGCTTAGTGATACAGTGTCTGCCTAGAATCCCCCAGTGAGGGGCTAAGAGCAGAGCTTGGTGGTAAAGTGTATCCCAGATGAGGGTCTGGGTGCAGAGTGTGCTGACCTGTGTTCTTTGGTTGTACAGATCCCGTACCAGCCCTGGACCTTGGGCAACAGCTGGAAATAAAAGTGCAGCGTCTACATGACATCGAAACAGAGAACCAGAAGCTTAGGGAAACACTGGAGGAGTACAACAAGGAGTTTGCCGAAGTGAAAAATCAAGGTTGGTGGTGAATGCCTGCCTGGCTTTGCTATTTGTTTTCTTCTTCCTCTTCCTCCCCCTCCCCCTCCTCCTCCCCCTCTTCTTTTTTTAATTGCCTTCTCCATACTGTTGGGACTAGCTCTAATTGTTACCCTCTTCATGAAGCCAGGGTGGGGTAAGCAGCCGAATCACTTAAACAGAGTTAATGACACTGCCTAGTTATGCCGCAGTCAAACTTTTCCTCTTGCAATAACTACTTGGGATTTTATTGCCTTCTGTCTGGCCAGATTGGGATTCTTTGAAAATTCCTTCTGTATCATTTTGTGATAGGATCTATGTTTGCAAAGACTGATGTGTTGCCTTGGGGCGACAACTGTCAGGGAGCCAGCTCTTGATCAAAGGGTCACACACAGTAAGTCATTTTAGTAATTACTGCTGATCCATTAAGGCTCCAGACAAGATGCATCCTTGCAAGCTGCATGCATGCTTACACTCTGTTCCTCCCCAACCAGCCTCATCTATTCATTACAGATCACATGAAAGAAAACAGCCTCTTGGAGGGGCTGCCTTGCATTGACAAGGTAGAGAGGGAAAAGTCTTTTCCTGCAGGGGACAAGTAGAAAGAAATCCATCCTATACTTGAAACCTGTCTGTGTTCAAAATCCTAGAATTCTGGCCTGGCCTGGTGACCCAAGCCTGTAATCCCTGCTTCTTAGGATGCCAAGGTAGGAGGATCCAAAAGTCAAGGTCTGCCTGGGTTTCAGACTGAGTTCATGACTAGACTGAACAACTTAGTGAGACCGTGTCTCAAAAATGAAAAGCAAAAAGAGGGATAGGGATAATGCTCAATGGTAGAGGACTTGACTAAAATCCCTATTGTGGGAGTAGAGGGGTGGTTCAGTGGTTGAATGCCTGTCTAGAATCCCCTAGTGAGGGGCTTGGGGTGTGGCTCAGTGGTGAACTAACACCTGTCTAGAATCTCCCAGTAAGGGGCTGGGACATGGTTCAGTGGTAGAATACCTGCTGAGAATCCCCCAGTAAAGGACTGGGAAGTGACTCAATTGTAGAGTGCTTACCTAGTATCAGTGAGGCCCTAGATTCAATCCCGGTATGGAAAAGGAAAAAAAGTCCTGATCTTTCTGACTTCCTTGTGTTGAAGAAAAAACAGTTTTGATAGCAGCCACAAGATTTTTAAACCAACTCCAATTACCTGCATGCCTGCCTTGTTTTGTTTTGGGAACATGGGTGAGGACTTAGGTAGAAGAAAAGGGCAGCAACCTGGATGGCTCATCTGTATTACCTGCTATTTAGTGTGCTTATAGAGGGCCTATCAAGAGGTAAAGAACTTGGATTGTGTAGAGTATCCTTTCTGCCTTTGAGAATGTTAGAGACAAACTTGGGAGTGGAGATTGTCTGTGGAAAGATGCAGAAAGAGGCTGGGATGATGTAGGAAGAGCCAGAAGTACAGATAGGCCTGGGCTGTAAGTCTCCACTGGGGTTCTGTAAGCACAGACGCCTCTGCTTTTACAGCTTTGGGGTGCTCAGGCCCTCCAGCTGAGCCTACTGACTGGAGCTGCTGAACCACATGGTGGGGTGCAAGGAATTTGGGGATCCAGAGCTATTTCAGACCACCACCTCTGTCTGGCTTTACTAAGAGTGTAGTGGCTTTTGGGACCACAGGGGACAGCTTTGTCTTGCTTAAAAGAGAGCTGTTGGGCTTATGAAGATGAGATCCTTTGAGATCTTTCTCTCCATAGCCACCCTCTGCAGCAACTGCCAGCAGAACTTGCTTCTTTCAACTTACCCCAGGTGATAGATAACTTACGAATATGCACATCTGTCTTCTTATGTAGGGGTACTACCTAGAGAGAATCTGTCTCCTTTTTATTGGGGGGGGGGGCTTTAGGGTTTTTTATTTTTAAGAAAGGATCTCCCTATAACATCCCGGCTGGCCTAGAACTCGCTATGTAGACCAGGTTGACCTTGAACTCACAGAGATGCATCTGCCTCTGCCTCCTGAGTGCTGAGATTAAAGGTATACACCACTACCTTTTTAGACAGGGCTTTGTATAGCCCAGACATCCCTCAACTTCACCGTGTTGCTCAGGCTGCCCTCAAACTAGCTATTGTAGCTCAGGCTGACTTAACTAGTATGTAGCTCAGGGTAGCCTCGAACTCACTCAATCTGTCTTCAAACTTACTTTGTAGTTCAGACTGATCTTCAACTCATGATTCTCCTATCTCAGCCTCTCCCAAAATACTAGTATTTCCTTCCTCAGCCTCCACCCACTCACCCATGCTAGTGGGTATGTGCCACCACACCCAGTTCTTACTGGTTTTTAATGAGTGTTCATATTAATATACAAAACATACACGCCTGGCAGGTGACACTGTGGGGGAAGTAGGGCCATAAACCCTCTCTGGCCTGCCAAGCCTGGCTCCTCCATTCATTTCCTCTTTACCCTTCCTGAGTCCACCAGTGCAGTATGGTAGGAAATGCAAAGAAGGTCAGTTGGGGACCTGGAGAGATGGCTTAGCAGTTAAGAATGCTTGCTACTGGTCCAGAGGACTGGAGTTCAGTTCTCAACACCCAGGTTGGGCGCCTCACAACTGCCCATGACTCCATTTCCAGGGCTTCTAACACCCTCTTCTGCCTCCACAGTCATGTGCATATTCACACACAGGCACACACACAAACGTAAATAAAATAAAATCTTGGACAGGTTAAGTGGCTCAACTAGTCTTGCCTCCAAACTTAGCAGCTGAGTCTGATTCCTTTGAACCACATGGTGAAAGGAGAGAACCAGCTCCCAGAAGTTATCCTGACTGCATGGGTTGTGACACATGCACACAACAAAATAAATGTCATTTAACCGAAAAAAAGAAAAAGAAAGAAAGAAAGAAGGAAAACAACCTCAGGCTTTGTAAGAGATGGCTCCATCCCTTGGCGCCAAGGCCCATGGGACTGTTTGTAGGGGGGCGCAAATTAAATGATCCTATCCTGGGCACCCTGAGGTAGGACCCTGTGCCATTCATTGTGTCTGCTTGGATGTCCCCAGCTCAAGTAATTGAAGTAACTTCTGTCAAGGTATCATGCATGGGAGAGCCACTCCTGAGAGCTGTCTGGGTCTGGGCCCTTTGTCATGCCATGCCCAGCTGGCATGCTCCCACATGAACCTGCAGGTGACCCTCCAACTCCCCCGCAAAGAAACCTTTTGCCACAGCATACTTTCAGGCCATTGCCAACCCCCAAGTATCTTCTTGTACCTCATGTCATCAGCTCTGTACATGGGGCCCTCGTCCACCAAAGCCAATGGCCAGGGCAGAGTATCTCCAAGTACATATACCCGAGGGTGGGTCTGTCCTCTCCCAGTTTAGGAGACACTCTGCCATACAGCACCTGTCATTTTCCACCCCATAGGAAACAGTAGAGCTGCCTCAGTGGCTGGTGAGGTAAGTCAGTGCCTGACTCCTTCCAAAATATGCACACCCTAGTAAACTGCTTTCTGTGTGAGAAAGTCTTTAAACCCACAGTAAAACTTTATTAATCTTCCCTTGGTAGAGGACTAATTTAAGACACATCAATAAGAAGATATTATGTTTGACCATCGATTTCCCCCTTTTCTAAGTGTGCTTGAGGTACCACCATGATCCTTCCTGGCAAAACCCATTGATCCTCCCCAACTTGAACACTACAAGTTCAATTTCACATTGAGGGAGTAAAAGGTCCCCAAAGGGACTCATAACCATTGATTTTGTGTCGGTGTGGACAAGCTCAAGTTGAAAATACAGCGATCCCGGCAGGTTACGAAAGCCTGGTTTACCCAGCCACAAGGAACTGCTTCCCTTACTGTCGGTTTTTCTTTCTTTCTGCAGAGGTTACGATAAAAGCACTTAAAGAGAAAATCCGAGAATACGAGCAGACTCTGAAGAGCCAGGCTGAGACCATTGCCCTGGAAAAGGAACAGAAGTTGCAAAATGATTTTGCAGAGAAGGAGAGGTGAGCGTGGCCTCACTGCCCCCACAGCAATGAAAACATTTTACTTTCTTTCAGACTTGCCATCACAAAGCAGTTTGGAAAATGGACATGTAAAATCAGCCAAAGTTATAGACAAAAACCCCCAAATGCTCCTGCATAAAGTTTTGCTTGAAGGGATCAGATATAGCTCAGTGGTAGAGCACCTGCCTAGAATCCCCCAGTGAGGGACTGGGGGATGTGGCTCAGTGGTAGAACCCCTGCCTAGATCCTTCACTGAGGGGCTAGGAGTGTGGTTCAGTGGAAGGGCACCTGCCTAGAATCCCCAGTGAGGGCCTGTGGTGTGACTCAGTGGTAGAGCACCTGCCCTGCCTGAACAGGACCTTGGAGTCCATCCTCAACACTACAAGAAAATTTTGATTGAAAGATGACAGTGATCCTTCATACTTCATTATAAGGTCTCTTGAGTACATATGTTCCTTTTCCCCTTGTGGTGAGGGACAGCCAGGCAGCCAGAGTACAAGTGCTATGGTCCTTTGGAGTGAACACAAGACTTGTGTAATTCTTAATAGACCAATGGCAACTATACCTGAGCTAAGGCAAGAGAACAGATTCCCCCAATATGTGCCCTCTACTAAAAAGCCTTGAATCCCATCCACCTTCATGGAATTTTGATATTTATCATCTCATATTAGGAAAAAAAATTCTTTTATTTTGCCTTTTTCCCTTGCCTCAGTGCCTCATAAATCAAGGAATTTTTCAGGATTGCTGAGATTTAACTCAGTGGTAGATAGAAATGTTCAACCAATGCTCAATGCAATCAATATAAATATTACAAAATCTACACAGGGCGTGGTGGCACTCATCTTTAATCCCAGCACTTGGGAGGCAGAGGCAAGTGGATCTCTGTGAGTTCAAGGCCAGTCTGATCTACATAGTGAGTTCTAGGCCAGGTAGCGTTATAGGAAATCCTGTCTCAAAAAGACATAAATAAATAAATAAATAATAAATAAATAAATAAATACCCAAAATCTAATAAACTGACCTGGCACAGCTGTGGTCTAGGCGTTTCTGATGAGGGATCCTCAGCCTGTGTCAGTAGAGTTCCTGAATGCACCACTTGACTGACAGGAGTTACCCCTTTCTAATGACTTACCCCCAAATTTCCCTGCAAATGAGTTGGTTTTCTGCCAATAGGATGATATAATGAAAATCAGATTTCTTATAAAAGCTGAAGGGACTCCAAGCTTGCCATTTCCAACTGTGTTAGTCAGATTTTTAAAAATTCTTTATTCAAATTAAGATGCTAAATTTCAGCACTCATGTGAGAAAATGTAAATATCCTTTAACAAGAGGCACTAAATTTATAGTTTCAAATAGAAGGCCAGTTTCGCTCACAGGTAGCTTGGGGTGTATGTGTATGTGTATGTGTATGTGTATGTGTATGTGTATGTGTATGTGTATGCACACATAAATGAATGCATGTAGAAGTTTTGTTCATGTGCTTTTAGAGGCCAGGGGTCAATGTCAGGTGTCTTCCTCAATCAATCACCTTTTTTTTGTTATTGTTTTATTTTTGAGACAGGGTCTCTCTGTAGCCCCAGCCGGCCTAGAACCCTCTGAGTAGACCTGATTGGTCTCTGTCTCACAGAGATCCTCCTGCTTCTGCATCCCAAGTGCTGGAATTAAAGGCATTCACCACCACAACTTGGCTTCACCTTATTTTTTGAGAGAGAGTCTCTCACTGAACTTGGAGCTTTCTGATTCAGCTAGACCAATTGGTTAGCAAGCTCCAGGGAATCCTCCTGTCTCCACCTCCAAGTTCTGTGATTATAGACACATGCCTCCACACCCAGCTTTTGTATGAATGCCAGGGATTGCACTCAGGACCCCAAGCTTAAGTGGCAAGCACTTTACCCACTGATCCATTTCCCTAGCATGGGGTACAGAATTCTATAGGATGGCTTCTAAAAGATCACAGGAGCCAGGTACAGTGGCACACACTTGTAATCCCAGCATTCATAAGTCTCAGGTAAGAGGATCAGCCTGGGCTACATAGTGAGGCCAGCTGTGGCTACTGGGAGACCCCTCACACACACTGTTCTAATTTCCTTTCTGTTGCTACAATAAAACACTTTGACCAAAAGCATCTTGGGGAGGAAAGGTTTATTTGGTTTGTACTTCCAAGTCACAGTCCATCACTGAGGGAAGTCAGGGCAATACTGAAGCAGAGACCATGGAGAAATGCTATTTTCTGGCTGACCCTCTGTCATGCTCAAAGGATCATGCTTAGCTAGCTTGCTTGCTTTTTTTCCCTTTAAATATTTTCATTTATTATTTTTATTTTATATGTATGGGTTTATTACCTGCATGCATGTGAGTGCACCCATGCTGTGCAGTGCCCAAGGAGGTCAGAAGAGGGCATTGAATCCCCTGGAACCTGGAGTTATGGATGGTTGTTAGCTTCCATGTGGATGCTGGGATTTGAACCTGGGTCCTCTGCAAGAGTGGTCAGTGCTCTTAACTGCTGAGCCATCTCTCCAGCCTCCTTAAGCTAGCTTTCTTATATAGCTCAGGACCACATGCCCAGGGATGTGGCATCCACAGTGTGTGGGGCCATCTCACATCAATTAACAGTCAAAACAAACCCCCATGCCCTAGACATGAACAATATGATCTAGCCAGTTCCTCAATCCAAAGCTTTTCTTTCAGATGACTCTAGGCTATGTCAGGTTGACACTTAAAGCTAGCTAGGACACTTCCCATATGTCTGTTTAAAAGCCTTGTAGGGTACTGTGACAATGACATCATTGACTTCATTTAAAAATGAGGAAAGTAAGATGACAGATGGATCAGCAGGTAAAGGTGAGAGAGAGTCTTATTTTTTGAGATAGAGTCAAGCCTGGTAACCCAAGTTTGATCCCCAGAATCCACATAAAAGAGAGGCAAGTTGTCCTCTGACCTCCACACATAAGCTATGGCATACACACATACACACACACAAATTTCTTTTTTGGTCTTTTTGAAACAGGGTCTCCCTGTAGCCCCCAGCTGGCCTGGAACTTACTATGTAGACCAGGCTGGCCTTGAACTCACAGAGATTTGCCTGCCTCTGCCTCTCAAGTGCTGGGACTACAGGCGTGTGCCTCTGGAAAATCCTAATGAGTTTATTGGGCTTGCTAACAGATCATAGGATGGGGGTTTATTTACAGAAGAGTGGGCACCCCCCCCCATTTACGGCTGTGCTAGAAAGTCCACATTCAAATATAGATCCTGTGACTTTCCCCCACATGCATCTACAGTCAACTGATTGGGTGGGAGGGGTAACTGACTCCCCCCTCAATGCCTTAATGAGCATAAGAAGGAGGTATAACTATAGCTTGTCTGCATAGTGGTGAGAGGACACTCTCTGGTAACACTCCACCCCTTTCTCTGGCTCTTACTTTCTTTCCACCAACCTCTTCTGCAAAGTCCCTGAGCCTTGGAGGGAGTGATAGGTGTGGGATGATCTTCCTTCCATTGTGGCCAGGCACTGAACTTTCAGATCTCTGCATCATCTGTTTTCCATGGCTGTTTGCCCATTTCAAAGGGATTCAATTACCACATGGAGGTTGGATCCAGGTGCTCTCAGGCAGTCTGCTGAGGTCTCAGTGCCTATGCCAGGTGGAGGCCAAAATAATTTTTTTTTAATTTTTTTAAATTTATTTTTATTTTATATGTATGCTTGTATTGCCTGCATGTAAGTAAGTGCACCCATGCTGTGCAATGCCCACAGAGAACAGAAGAGGCTGTTGGAGCCCCTGGAACTGGAGTTATGGACAGTTGTTAGCTACCATGTGGGTGCTGGGATTTGAACCCGGGTCTTCTGCAAAAACAACCAGTGTTCTTAACTGTTGAGCCATCTCTCCAGCCCCCCTTTTTTTTCAATATTTTTTTAATAATTAAAAAAAAAAGGGGGAAGGAAAATATCCAGATATGGTGGTGAGCAGCTATAATCCCAGCCCTGTGGAGGTAAGAAAGTCATCTACAAGTTCAAGGCCAGCCCTGGCTGCAGCAGCAATTCTAGGCTGCATGAGTTTCAATGTGATTGAAATCATGTCTTGGGAAGAAACATAAACAGAAAGCAGCTTGTGCTCAAAGAGATTTCTCACTATGTTACTGATCCTGCCAGGAAAATGCAGACAGGTAAATGCCCCACTAGGAAAACTGAATGCAGAAGAACTCTAATCGAACTCTTCAAAGCCATATTAGAATTTGCCACACCTCACAGGAGCCTGGGGGAAGTAGCCAGTACAATATGAATGGAAACTGCAGGTTTCAAAGTTTTGCTTAGGGGCTGAGACTCAGGTGGTAGAGCATCTGCCTAGTATGCACAAAGGCCTAAGTTCCATCCCCAGTACAGGACAAACTGTGTGGTGGTGCACAGCTGTAATTCCATCCCTGGGGAAGTGGAGACAGGAAGATCCAGGAATTTAAGATCATCCTCAGCCATATAGCGAGTGTAAGACCAGCCTGTGCTACATGAGACCTTCCATCCCAAAACAAAATATTTATAGTATGATTGATAACATGCACCCCCCCCCCTCATTTGACTCACTTCTGAAAGTGTAGAAATAAACTAATAGGGGAACTCTTGACTTCAAATCAGGTGAAAGAAGAAATTACATTAAAAGACAAAAATACCTGTTAGGGAGGGATAAAGCTGTACCATCATTACCTCATGATTTATACACACTCTCTCCCACACAAAAATTTAGTTGGGGCCAGATGCAGTCACTTGAGTCTGTAGTCCCAGCATTCAAGAAGCCAAAGCAGGAGAATTGTTATGAGTCTGAGACCAGCTTAGGTTGTATTGATTCCAGGATAGAGGGGGCTACGCTGAGGAAGGAAAAAAAAAAAAAAAAAAAAAAAAAAAAAATCCAATGAAGAGGCTGGAGAGAAGGCTCAGCAGGTAAAGAGCATTGGCAGCTCTTAGGACCTGAGTTCAGTTCCCAGTATCCACATGATGGCTGACAACCATCCATAGGATCTAACACCCTCTTCTGACCTCCAGAGGCATTGCACACATGAGTACACATAATATATGCTGGCAATATACTCATACACATAAAAATGAAACAAATTAAAAATCTTTAGAAAGTGGGGCTGGTTACTCTTACAGAAGACCTAGGTTCAGTTCCCAGCAAGTAATAACAAATGGCAAGTAATAACAGCCTGTAACTCCAGTTCCAGGGGATTCAGTACCTCCTCTGGCCTCTGTGGACACTGCACGACATACATGCACTTACATACAAATACTTAAGATAAAAATAAATAATAATTTTTTTAAAAATCTTTAAAACAACAAATAGCAATAAACAAAGACTTTAAAATGTCAATAGATAGGATAGAAATTATTTGTACTGCATAAGATAAAGGGTGAATTGTCTATGTATGCACAGAGCTCTTACAAATTAATAAGAAAAAAAACTCTACCAGCCAGGCGGTGATGCATACCTATAATCCCAGCACTCATGAGGTAGAGGAAGGAAGATGGGCCAGCCTTGGCTACATAAGGCCTTGGAGGCCAGTCTGGGCTTCATGATACCCTGTCTCAAAAAAACTAAATAAATCACAACAACAACAAAAATCTACTTAAAGTGTACAGAGGTCAATAAACAAAGAGACAGCAGTAAAACACTGTTTGGTTTTATACAGTGTTGGCAGGACATACAAAACACTCGTGCATTGGCAGGATTTTAAATTGGAGAGGATTTTTCTTTGGGAAGTTCCTTAATAGCCATCCAAAAAGAAAAACAATTGCATATAGCCCGTGACCATTGTAATTGCTCTGTTAGAAGTTTATCCAACAGATCCAATCTCAAAATTAGGCAAAATTATCTACGTAATTGAGAAAATGTTTGGCAAAAAACTATAAACAGGAGCTGGAGGGATGGCTCAGCAGGTAAGAGCACATCCACTCTTGCAGAAGACCCTGGTTCAGTTCCCAATACCCACACCAGGCAGCTCAAAACCACCTGTAACTCCAGCTCCAGGGAATCCAATGTCCTCTTCTGACTTCCATGGGCACTGCACACATGTGCACATACCCACACACATATACACATAATTAAAAGTCTGTTTTAAGAGCCAGGTGCCACTAAGGAGGCAAAGGCAGGTGGAGCTCTGTGAGAATAAAGCCAGCATGGTCTACATAGTAAGTTCCAGGACAGCTGGAACTACAGGAAAACACTGTCTCAAAAAGACAAAAAAAAAAGTCTTTTTTAAAAAGAAACTCTAAACAATCTAGGTGTCCATAGAGTTTGGCAGAGTTGGTTACTTGCTAAGAACGAGGAATTGGAAAACATTCTACAACACAAGAGATGAATGGAAAAGCAAGCTGCTGAGTGCAATTGTGTGCCCATCTCTTCTGTAGTGAAAGTACGGGCAAGGATCACTGGGGTTGGTGGTTCATGACCCAACGCTCAAGACGCTGAGGCAGGACTCAGAGTTAGAGGCTAACCTGGGCTTCACAGGGAACTTTTTTTTTTTTAATTTATTTAATAACCACCTAATAGAAGCATTTTGTTACAACAGCCTTGACATAGTCAATAACAGTTTCCAAAGCAAAGATGCAGCTCTTTCAAAATTGACTGTAAATTTTTAGGTTCACAGTGTTGAATTAATACAGTTATACATTATTGTATTCAGTATAAACCCTATAAGACATAAGATTGAAAAAGGTTTTAACCTTCAGGGGAATTTTTATCTCAACCCTCCCCTCCACAAAAGGACAAAGAAGGAATTTGTATTAGACCATAGCATGTTACATTTTAATTGACTTCATACTTACTATGTTACATAGTTATTTACTTTGGAATAGAATGTTACATCTTAGTTTATACTATAGGACAGTCCATAAAGTTTACACTGTAGTACCATACTTATTCTTTTATACTAGTATATTACATGTTGGTTTTAGTGTATGTTACATACATACTGCACTTACTACATTGTATTTATGTACAGGAAGAAACATTTTTTTTTTTTTTAATGAAGAAATGTTTTAGAAAGATGCAAGGAGGGGCTGGAGAGATGGCTCAGCGGTTAAGAACACTGGTTGTTCTTGCAGAAGACCCGGGTTCGAATCCCAGCACCCACATGGCAGCTAATTCCAGTCCCAGGGAATCCAACAGCCTCTTCTGACCTCCACAGGCATTGCACAACACGGGTACAGTTACCTACACACAGGCAATACACACATACACATAAAATAATAAATTTTTTAATTAAATTAAAAAAAGAAAGATGCAAGGGATCTCTCTCTCTCTCTCTCAAGTAGAAATGGAGCTAAGGAACTAAAACAGACATTACACTTCCTATTCTTTTGGGAAATTTGATTTTAAAAAAATATCTTGGAGACTGAGGAGATAGCTCAATCAATAAAGTTCTTGTCGCACAAGCATGAGGCCCTGAGTCCAGATCTCCACTAACCATGTATAAAAAGCTGGGTGCTGCTATACATACCTATAATCCAAGTACTGGGGAGGTAGAGACAGGTGGATAGATAGATCCCTTGGGGCTTTCTGGTGAGCCAGTCTAGCCAAATCAGTGAGCTCCCAGTCCAATGAGAGACTCTGCCTCAAAACATGTTAAGAGGCAACTGAGGAAGGTACCCATTGTCAACCTCTGGCTTCCACAGATGACATCTGCTAAAAATCAACCACTTCCACATTAAATTTTTTTTTTCTTTTGGGGCTTTTTGAGACAGGATTTCCCTGTCCTGGAACTCACTATGTAGACAAGGCTGGCCTCAGTCTCAGAGACCTGCCTGCCTCTGCCTCCTGAGTGCTGGAATTAAAGGCATGAACCACCATACCTGACCACCTTGATTTTTTAATTTATTTATGTGTATGAGTGGTTTGCCTCCATATATATAAGTGTACCACATACAAGTAATCCCTGCAGAGGCCAGAAAGAGGACATTGGATCTTTTGGAACTGGAGTTATGGACAGTTGTTAGGTACCGTGTGGTGCCGGGAACCAAACTGAGGCTCTCTGCAAGAGCAGCAAGTGCTCTTTATTGAACCATCTCTTCAGCTCCAGCATGTATCAGTTCTATAAAAGAAATACATGAAGATATTGGGAAAGCTTTTCTATTGGGTTTCAGAAATTGGGGTGGTCTTTTTTAGCTCCTTTCCCATATCTCCAAATTCACTATATTGAATATATGTTTTGTTCCTATGATATAAAAATCATGAGCTTATTTTTAGAAATTTTTTTTTCCTGCAGATTCAGAGAAGCACATACTAGTTCTTGGCCAGGGACTGCATTTGGAGACCATGGGAAATAAGAGGGAAGACTAATTTCAGACACTCAGAATCCCCTCTCCTGACAGATAGACAGACAGACGACACACACACACACACACACACACACACACACACACACACACACACGTCGCGTAAGCGTATTATTGTAGAGAAGAACACAGCGGT